AAGAGAATTTTTTTTTGCTACAAGAGGAAGATGTTTAAGGAAGATAGGTGGAATATCTGCAGGCTTCTTTTAAGGACTTAAAGAATTATAAAATTCTTCTGTAGAGATAAAATTGATGATCGGGTCATTGCTCATGAAGTCAAATGTATTTATTATCTGCATTAGTTTCGGAGGTAATTGCGATGATTGGATTAATTGAATATTTATGATAGAAATCCGCAAATGTTTTAATAATTTCGATGGTATTTGTGACCAGTCATCCTTCCTTTTCCAGTGCTCTAATTTCTGATATTCTTTTGACTTTTTCCAAACAGATGACATTATTGTTTTGTCATTTTTACTTCCTACAAATTGCTTTTGCTCGATCTTTTTTTGTATTGAATTAGTGTTTCTGGTGTTTTGTTCGTTTATATTTGTTAAAGGATGTTTTTTTAGTTCTAATTGTTTCTGCACATTATTCGTTCCATCAAGAATGCTGAATGAACGTGCCGAAATAAGACTAGAACACATATCTGTCTGTATTCTTCCTTCGATGATCCAACACAGCCACTACCTAAGTCCTGTGTAAGGATCCTTTCCATAATAACTGCTTCTTCTGTCTATTTAAGGCCACATTATTTCATAAGGCACCGTAAAATTGTTGTATATATGTTTGTTCTTCAATTATACATAAAGTTTTGATTGTTGATTGTAACGAACTGTCCTTTTCACAAAATAGGTTTCTAATTGCTCCTTTTACAATATCACTTACATTATTAGTTATTAACTTCGGTACAATGTTATGCGATTATCCTGGTGTTAAAGTATTTGCAAATCGTTCTTGTACATATGAAAATGGTATCAAAGGTTGGTTGTTTTCTTTATTGGTATAGACAATTTCACTTACCGTGTTTTCGGACATATTAGCATTGCAACCGATATAGTATTGAAATATCAGTATTTGAAAGGAAACGTCAAATTAACAAAACACATGTACTTTCAACTCGGAGTAGTCATGTGTGAGTTTATGTATTAAAGGTGGGAAAAGAAAAAAAATGGTCTTTTATATCTCACAAAGAAGTTTGTATTTGAACGGCGACCGGTTTCGAAGTTTGTTCAATTCATCATTAGGCACACCTAGTGGGTAAGAGAAAAGTATTAAATCTAAAATCCATTAAAAATAATCTCATTACCTAAAATAACAATTTAAACAAATTCCACAAACCACTCTTGAACTTTACGGATTGTGTTTCTACAGATGATGGACTTAGTCTCCTTAACAAAAGTTTAAAATTCAATCCAGTTAGATCTAACGGTATTTTAGGTACGTTGATGACATTTTGATTTTGTGGACTGCAGTTTGAATTTGTTAAATAATTTCTTAGCTTACATTAATATTCTTCATAATAATATAAAATTCACACTTTAGTTAGAAAATGATAAGACTTTAAACTTTTTGGATATAAAAATTTCACATAAAAATAACAATACACTTTCCTTCGACATTTTCAGAAAACCAACACATTCATGCACAGTCATAGACAATACTTCTAATCATTCTGCTACACATAAACTGTCTGCTTTTAACTGTTATCTAGAGCGATTACTCACTATACCTTTGACAAAAGAGTCCTTTGATAGAGAACTCAATACTTCAATACTATAAAAAGTATTGCTATTGACTATAACTATAAACCATGTCTGATTGACAAAATGTTGAGAAGGAAACAAAATAAAATTCAACAAAACGATTTCTTTATTAATAACTCACAAATTATAATACCCGAACAAATTACTAGGACGAAGTATGTAAAGGGTGTTCAAATTTGACCTTCGGATTTAATTTAATAATAAAACACAAAAAACCCTTGAAATATTATAATGTTATTGTATTATTTTAAAGTTTAAATGTTACGGTTAATAATGAAAAATGTGACCCCTCTGCTTCTTTGGCATGCTAACATTCTTTTTCCAAAATTTTCAATAACTTTTCACAAACATTCTGTTCAATTTTTCGAATAATGTTAACTCGAAGCTGTTCAGGTATTTCAGGGTTATTAGCATAAACTTTTACCTTTAAAAAGCCCTACAAGAAATAGTCCAATGGTGTAAAATCGCACGACCTAGGCGGCCAATTAACCTCAGCTCTTCAAGAAATTATTCGATTGTCAAATCTCTCCCTTAAGAGATTTGGTGTTTGATCCGATGTGTGGCAAGTGGCACCATCTTGCTGGAACCACATGTTCTCTACATCCATACCTTCTAATTCGTTCCAAAAATAATCTCCAATCATTGTCCTGTATCGGGCTCCGTTCACAATTATTTCATCACCACGTTCATTCTGGAAAAAATAAGTACAAATAACGCCACCAGACCAAAAACCACACTACACAGTCACTTTTACTGGATACAGTGGTTTTTCCAATATTTCTCTTGGATTTTCCTCGCCCCATATTCTGCAATTCTGCTTGTCTACGTATCCACCGATTTCGAAATGAGCTTCGTTGCTAAAGATAATTCTTTTAAAAAAATCTTTATTTTTTTGCCTTCTTTCTAAAGCCCAATTAACAAACATACGACGTGCCACATGATCGTTTGGTTTTAATTCTTGACTCAACTGTAGCTGTTAAAGTAGCATCTTTTTTAATTTGTTATGCAAACTCGATCTTTTAATGTTGACTTGCTGTGAACGTTTTCGTACTAAATTTTCGGGATTTCACTAACACTAGCCCTTACCGCAGCAATGTTTTCCTCTGATCGGGAAACACGATTGTAAACACGGCACCTGTTAACTTCTACTGGCCCAGTATATTGAAATCTCTTCATAAAAGTCTCAATAACTTTAACAGATGGTGCTAAATTTCTTCCGAAATGCGTAAGGCATCTTCTTGCGGTTTCAGCAAAACATTCCCCATTTTGGTAATAATTTTTCACAATAAAACGCGGTCTTCGATGGATAGTTGTTTCATGTTGACTAAAAAACAATTGCAAAGTTTTTACTTGACATATATCACCATAGAAAAACTGTTAATGAAAATTAACAAAAATAGCGGTCAATTTAAATCGGAATGTCAAATTTGGACACCCTTTATATCTTACCTTCATAGGTAGCATTTCTTACAAAGTGGCCAGCCTTTTCAAAGACCACTTTAAAGTTTCATTTAAAAGTTCCAATTCTATACCTAAGGTTTTTATTAGGAATAAGGATAAAATTGACATCTTAGACTTATCTGGGATCTACAAATTAAATTGTAACACTTGCAATTCTTACTACGTAGGTAGGACTTTTCGTAATTTAATTTGCCAACCATCGAACCATCTTATAGTTTTGAGAACCTAGAAATAATGAGAAATCTTAAAGCCTCCCCAGGAGGTTGCTTGAATACACATATCCAATTTGTATCTTCTTCTATTTTGTCCACTTTGCTTTAAATAGAAAACAACTTGGTACAACAACAATTATATTTCTTCTTCATTTTTCATTTCTTATTTTGCTGTTTATTATTGCCCTTTCGTTATTAGTATTTTCTTAATTTTCCCAAGAATCTTTTATACACGTGGTTTAATTTTTTCATTTTTTCCCATTTACTGTCAAATTTCAAATTTTCAACATTTCTTAGAACTGTCATTTCGTTGTCACAGTGTTACCAACTTCTCCTTAAATTAAAAATTACCCCCAGATTAGTAATTTGTTCATGGCTTTACATAAATAAATAATATTTTTAAACTAAAACTAATAAATTTTTTGTCACATTTTTCGTCTCATGTCCCCACATTTTTTAAATTTTTTCATATTTCTGTTTTTTAAAAAACTTTTTGTAGTGGAGATTTTTCGTTGCTTATTATAAACATAATTTTTTGAAGTTCATTAACTATTAGTTTTGCCACTCTCTACTGGAGGGCAGCACCTCTATAAATTAAAAATTGTTTTTTTTCTTTGAATTCTTCAAGCCGTGGATGAGAGATTTTGGTAGTTTTGCCACTCTCTACTGGAGGGCAGCACCTCTATAAATTAAAATTTTTTTTTTATCAAATTTGAATTCTTCAAGCCGTGGATGAGAGATTATGGTGGGTTTTTTGTGTTTTTATTATACTATATAGTCATTTCTTTATCTTATACCATTTTGTTGTTAATTGTTTGTTCCAATATATATTTTTCAATATTCAATATTCAACATATTTTTTCACTTTTTCTTTTCGCCTTTCACTCATTTTCGGCTTTTTCATTTAGTTAGACATTAATTTGATTAATAATTTTTTGTTAGTGTGAATATATAAATATTAGGTATTAGTATAATAGTTTTGGTAATTTCGCTTAAAAGTAAATCAATATTCCATCATTTTTTAATTTTAATGGTTTAATTTTTTAACTTAAAACTCATCAATTCCCCCTTTTCTCTTACCCACTTAGTGTGCCTGATGATGAAGTGAATAAACTTCTTTTTTTACCTTTAATACACGTACTTCACTGAACAGTAACTAAGTAAAAATATAATACATACGTCTCAGTAAATCGTGCATTATATAGTTAGATTAGACATGTGCCTGTTTGTTCCTTGTTGTAATACCTCACATACGTTCAATCATAGAAGTAGAATGCGTTTGAATATGAACACTATATAAGCCATTTTTGTTATCTAAGAGGCGCCAGGTCAAAATAACACACTGAAAAATTCTCCCTCTTCACTAGTTCTTACAGTACCTATAGAAATTTTCCTTGAAGTTTGCATAGGAATGAAATGCCACCAAGACGTTGACTCTTTGTTGTAATATTATTTTAAGGTGGACCACAATTTTTTTTAATAAAAAAGTAGATTTTATTATGTTTCTATAGCAATCTTTCTAATTTTGACTATCAAAATAATAATTAATATTAAATATGAATTACCTCAAAGAAAAAATATTGTGCAGTATTTAAACATTTTAATTCAAAAACAGTGTCACTTCCAAATTACTGATACGACAAACATATAATTGAAACTAGCTCAAAGCACCCTGTATATAATATTATTCTTCCAAAGGCTTCCAAAGGGAAAATACCAATTCCGAAGAATCGAATTCGAACGGCTCCCCGCACAAAGAAGAAAGCACCAAGAGTGATGTAAGCGAAGTTCTTCCAGAAACACTACCAGAAGCAGAGCAGAAGGAAACGATATACGAAAACTTCAATCCTAATTCCGTCAATCAAAATCCACCGGAAAATATATACGAAAACTTAAAAGAACCTATAGAAGAAAATATATACGAGAATCTGAAAGAAGTTAAAGATAAAATCAGAAACGAAGAAGAAGTTGATCGATTTAAAGACCACATATACCAAGAAATCGATGAATACCCCCATAATGGTTACGAAAACGTTGAAGTTTTAAACAAAACCGACGATTCTAAAGAAGAATTAATAGTAGAGAATTGTTTATATAATAAATTTGAAGAAGTCAGCCCTCAAAATGGGGATATAATCACGGATCTTGATGCTACGGATGACGCTGTAGAACCCAGAAGTTCTCCAGTGGAACACAATTACGAAGAAATTAAAGAAATAGTGGAAACGGAAATTAATCAAAAACAAAATCATAATTTTGAAGAGTACGAATCGTTCAATACAGAGGAATCTTTAGACTCGAAAACTAACGAATCGTACTCCGAATTTCTATACCACAGCAAAACGGAAAGCAATTACTACGAAAAATACACCGAAGTCGTGTCTAAAAACGTCGAAATCAACAACACACAAAAGGATACAGAAACCGTACCCGTCGAAATCGTGAAACAATTGAAAAGTCAATTTTCTAAAGCCACGCCCGATCTTATTAATGTAACGAAAAAAGAAATGGACGACGTTGGACAACTGAAGATGGTTAATATTATGAAACAGATCAACAAGTTTGAGCAAAAGGATGCTGCTGGAGATGCATTGGATGATGATGTAAGTACTTGTAATGAGTTGATCGGTGTGTCTGAAATTAGCGACAACTTGGTAGAATTTGAGACCACTTTTCCTGTTGTACAGGGTGTTTTAAGATAACATTCTTCCCTACATACTGTTTAGTTTCTTTTTAGTGCATATCAAGAATGTTTTCTATAAAATCTATATAGTGCAGGCAACGAAAAGATATAGAGGGAAATATTTGGAACACAATTTTTGACAACCTAACTTTATTTGGACTAGTTAGGAGGTAAACATATCAAAAGTCCCCGCCCGTGGCCTTTAAGCCAGGGGGGGGGGGAGAAAAGAGGGTCTAAAGGTCCTATTTTTCGTTGTTTTTGCTTATATCTCGAAAACTATGCGTTCTAGCGACATAATAGCTTATTAAATTTGCTGCAAGTTTTAACATTTGAAGGAAAATAGATAAAATAAAAGTCATATATATTATTGAAGGGAATTTATTTCTCTACGACTATGGTTGGCATTTATTCTTTGGGTGCATCGTTAAAGAGTTATCCGGTCAAAAAGAGCAAAATATGTAAGGCATTTTTTTTTTCAAAATTACAGACTTTCAAGGGCTGATATATCGAAAACTGTACAAGATATCGAAAAACTTGACTAGGTAAAATTTAATAAGCTTTCGTTATATTATGTGGTTATGTCGATAGGACGCATAGTTTACGATATATTAGCAAAAATCCGAAAAATGGAACCTTCAGACCCCTCTCTCCCCTCCTCCGGATCAAAGGCTACGGGCGGGGACTTTTGATATGTTCACCTCCTAACTAGTCCAAACAAAGTTGCGAAGTCAAAAATTGTTTTCCATGCATTACCCTGTATACCTTGTGAACTTTCCTTGCTTTACTTATGGTGATGCTTTTTCGTAAAATATAATAGGGCCAATTACGTTTTGTTATCGATTTAACGTATGACTATTTCCGTTTTACTTTGAATTACCTTGTATACAGGGTGTCCCATTAGTGCGTAATTGTTCAATATTTCAATTTTTGTTCAAGGCCGGATTAAGCACCAGCGGCGCCCCGGGTCAAAACTTTTAAAGCGCCCCTTCCCAACAATTAATTTTCAATCTATTATTAAGGTATAAAAATGATCAAAACAATTATTCAGTGTATTTATTTTGAAAGAATATTAATATTACAAAAAATAACATTACAAACATTTCAAGATAAAAAATCAATAAAACAAAAACTTCGAATCCCATTTCCTTTTTATTAAAGTGTCTTTCTTAATTTGCTTGAAATAAAAAGCGATATAATATCGTTTTCATCTAGAGAGTCAACAAGTTCACTCTCAATGCACAATAAAGCTTAATTGCTGGTCTTCGAATCAGATAAACTATTTCTTAAATAGTTCTTAACTACGTAGTGTTGAAAACGACCTCTCTCCGGTAACATTAGTTGCTGTTATTGTCAAAAAAAATTTTAAAGTAGTGTCGATATTTGGATATGTTGCAACTATTTTAAGTCTTGTCAGAACTTGTAGTATCTTACCCATAATGTAGTTTTCTTCTTTGTTTTCTTCCTTCAAAGCTTTTAGAAAGTATTTAAATTGAATACATTCTTCTGCAAAATCTCTATCAAGTTTAGACTGATAACTCTGCCATAAATTTGCTGCCTCTATTGAAAATTGATTGTCCGAAAGATCACATAACGATCCCATAAATCCAAACGTGTTTGAGACCCTTTCCTAGGCTATTTTTCTTCGAATTAGTTCTGATGACAAATTATCTAATACAACGTAAAATGTGTTAATTTTCATATTTTGCTTTCCATCAAAATTCGTTTCAACTTCTTTACTTTCATCGAAAGCTTTCTTTCTTATTCGTATTCTGTTTACTTCAAGTTTGTATATATTACATTTTGTGAAATGTTTAGCATTTTGTTCGATTTCTTCAAATGTTTCGTCGGTTCGCAAGCTGCTTACATACAGTATCAGTGAATCGTAGAATTTCGTCACTAAGGAATCATCTGTGGACTGTTTTTGTAATGTTTTGCTCACATCAAATTTTGGTAGCAACTTATTCTACACTTCTAAAAGAATTCCAGTTTGTTTATTGCAGCCCGCAAACCAGTACCCAGCAAACATTTTGGTGTAATTTGACGTCGATACTACCTAAATTATATATAATAAATTTGGTCGCAAAATTAGATTTAACCATAATTAAGTAAAATTTACGTTGGCTCGACGTGGATTCGACATAAGTGGAGAATAAGACGACGTCGAAATTTGGTTTTATTTACCAAAATAGGTAGAATTACATCTAAATCCACATTGTAGTAGCCCAGTACGTTTGGTTAGTAATACCTCTCTAGGGAAATTTGACGTCAGTATAACGTTAATTCGACGTTGATTTAACTAAGTTTAGGTAGAAACTACCAAAATATTTGCAGATGACGTATGTCTCCAAGTGTACGAAAAGAAATTTTATACTTATTTGGTATTTTTATCTATATATAAGTAGAAATATTGTAAGACGTCACCAACACAACTAAAACATATACCTAATTCACATGAAAGATTGAAAATAAATAAATGTCGTTGACAAAAATACATGTAATGTAATTGCGGTGAATATACAGTTCACGCTTGTTGAAATTAATGCGAAGAAAATTTTGTCGTGCATGTTAACAGTTCTACTTAGAAAAATAACAATGCCCTTCCAAAATACTCTCTAATTAAAAAAATATAAGAAAAAAATATGATCTCGTTAAAAAATAATAATAATAATAATATTATGAGCTAAAACTGTGTTACGTTTGTTGTGTATCACTTTAGAAAATCAATGTTTCGTTTTTCGTTATTTTCATTCGTATGTTTTAGTTATGGTCATTTTAAAAATTTAAAATTTGGAATCGTACTTCAATTACGTTAAGAAAATATGGCGTATTGTGCGAATTCGACCTAAAAGTTATTATTTCTATGGAAATCTACGTATTTTACAAATACCTTTTTACTAAGTTGAATTAACTTCAATTTCACAACATATTAGTTAACTTTACCTATTTAAAGAAATAATAACTTATAGGTTTTATAAAAAATTTACCTATAGGTAAATATAACATATTTAGGTCACGTTGTTCTGCACTTGAGATTTTAGACGTTTCACTTTACGATAAAAATCGGAAGTATAACGATATGATTTATTATATTTCGAACTCATTTTATTAATTATTTTTCGCACTCATTTAAAGCTCTATCTACACCACACGTAAATTAAGATTACGACTGTAATGGTTTTTTTAAAATGGCCGAAATTCTTAAGAATAATGACGAAGACTGTAACTGAACAACCTAATTGTTTTTACAAATAGGTCATGTATGACTCTTTTTAAATTGATGGTTTTTAGTCGAATTTACTTTGTGGTAGATTTTTCAGATAATTGCTACAACAAAGTTAATAAATATTTTTTCAAGATGACTTATAGGTCAACTAAATGAGTATTCGACTATTTGGTTGAAATTAGGTAGATAAACAGGTAGAATTTTGCTACGATCTCGACCTAATATTACTTTAAAGGAGAGTAAATAAAAGCGGCCAAATAGGTTAGTATGGAGGCATAAAATTACGTAGAATTTTTAACCAAATCTACTTAGTTGGATATTCTACTATAAAGACGATTTTTAGTTGCCAAACAGGTAAATATTACCTAAATATGGCACCTAATTTTACTACAAAGGAAATTTAACTTTGAAGTAATTGTTGGTTATTTTTTTTAGTAGTTTTTCCCTTGCTGATATGGTTAAAGTTACTTTTAAGCAGATTTGTGTAAAAGGTAAATTTCTTGGTATAATTTACGTAAATTTAAATATAAATTAAAACCGTTTGGTAAATTTACATTAGAGGTATATTTTTCTAGTCAATTTTACGTAATAATTACCTCAATAAGTAAATTCGTCTTTAACAAAGTCGAGTTATAACTAATGTTATAGAAAATGTTTGCTGGGTAGCTTGAACCTTTGTTACTGGAGGTTGATTTGAATCACCTATTAAGTTTTGAAGGGCATTTTGGTAGCTATCATAACAGCTATAGAGCCCTCTAGTTGTGTCCGCTCTTGTAGACCATCGAGTTGCACTTAATTTTTTTGGGAGCAAATTGTTTCTTGTTTCTCCGTCTCCATTCTCAGACTCACTTAAAGTTTGTTTTAAAATATCCCATCTAGCAGTGGAAGATGAAAAGAAAACGTGGAGTTCATTTAAGAACATGAAAAACTGTGTTGCCTGTAAACAACTTTCCGCAGCACAAGAACCTATCAGATTTAAAGAATGAGCTGCACATGGTATGTATAGAGCTTTGGCATTGTGTTTTCAAAATTGCTACTTCCATATCTTCAGCTTTATGCCCAACTTTGCTAATACATTTTATGAAACGTTTAACCACCGATCCAGTTGGTGTTGAATCTACGCTTATTGAGTAATACTTTATTTTATTTCTTTTATTATTTTTTTCTGGTGGATTTAGCCAACAATTCTATAAATTCATTACACACCGTCTTTGACAGGTAGGAGGCATATCCTTTTTCTTTATTTACATGTTTTTCGAAATGAGTTTTTAGGAATGGGTCAAATTTGGCAATTAGTTCAAGTGTAACCAAATAATTTCCACATTGCTCTTCACCTGATCTTTCTATGGTTCTCCGAAATGCTAATCCTTGTTTAGATAAAAATTTTACAGTTGTTACTATCCTTTTCAGAAGGTTTCTTCAATATTCTTTTTTATATTTTCTCGATGCTCTATAGATTTGTGGTGTTCCCCTATTCTTTCTAGATGCTTCCAATCATTAAATCCATTGACGAATTGTGAAAGGTTTGATCCGAATAATTTACACTGCAAACAGTACATTTTGTTGGTTGATGGAGAGTATAAAAGCCATTCCCTCCGGATATTCTCGTCATTTACTAATTTCACGAAATACATTTTCTTTGATGCGTATCGACTGCGATTTTCATTGGGATACAGTCTTTTTGACTGTTCAAAACC